GTCATATATTCAGTCTGGTCAGTGTGGTTGGTATAGTAATTTGTATGAACAGAATATTGAAAATTTCCTCATCTCAAATTAACATTTTCATAATTGTAAGTAGTGTGTCATTGTGCTGGGTAATAGGATACCTATTACAACTTTATTTGTGCCTTTTAAATCTCTCTTCTTTGACGGGGTGTCTGGGTGGCTCAGTTGGTTAAGTGTTTGCCTTCAGCTCAGGTCATGATCTTGTGGGATTGAGCCCTGGGGGTGCTTCCCCCCTCCTCCTGCAGCTCCCACTGCTTACGCTCTCTCTGTGTCAAATATCTTCAAAAAAATAAATTTCTCTTTCAGAAAAATGTACATTTAAACATTATGATTATGTGAGATTTAGTTCTGGAGTTTCTTTTTACTTTAGAGTAGGATATGCAGGTCATATCAATTTTTGTGGTTATATTAATATTTAAAATTTTTGAATACAGCTTTGAGTTTGTCTGTCTACCTGTCTTGTTTAAGATCTGTGAAGTAGCAAATATCCTCTAAATGGGCTGGCTTCTGTTAAATTAATGTTTTTCTTTCTTTTTTTAAATTAAATTTTTTAAAAAAGATTTTATTTATTTATTTGACAAAGAGATCACAAGTAGTCAGAAAGTCAGGCAGAGAGAGTGCGGGGAAGCAGGCTCCCTGCTTAGCAGAGAGCTTGATGCGGGGTTTGATCTCAGGATCCTGAGATCATGACCTGAGCCGAAGGCAAAGGCTTTTTTAACCCACTGAGCCACCCAGGCCCCCCTAAATTAATGTTTTTCTCATTATAAAATATGCTTGTACAGAATTTGGAAACTGTCTCAGTTGGCAAGAAAATAATAAACTTTTGCCTGAATGCAGGTTTCAGAGGTCACTATAAATTCGGATCGGTTTTGCACATAGCAAGTACATACTGATGTCCAGCTCTTTGGAGGGCTGCTGTGTGGCTTTCCCTGCACTTTGACCTGCGTCACTCTGTGTGATACCTCCTTCCCAGCCGGGCCCTATATGCCTGAGATAGTTGACTGGGGGGTTAGACTACTTGGGAAGAATATCCCACTTACTAGCTGGGCAGCCTTGGGTAAATTACTTGCCTTCTCTGAGCCATATTTTTCTTATCTAAAATGGGAATAATATTAGTACTTATTATCTCTTAGGTTTCTTTCTTTTTTTTTTTTTTTAATTCTCCCAGTCTGTGGCTGGTCTTTTATTTTTTTATTTCTTATTTTTTAAAAGATTTTATTTATTTGACAAGCAGAGATCACAAGTAGGCAGAGAGTCAGGCAGAGAGAGAGGAGAAAGAAGGCTCTCCACAGAGCAGAGAGCCCGATGAGGGGTTTGATCCCAGGACCCTGGGATCATGACCTGAGTCGAAGGCAGAGGCTTTAACCCACTGAGCCACCCAGGTGCCCCATCTCTTAGGTTTCTTCTAGGGATTAAATGAAATAACACAACAGCCCAGTTCAGTGAGGAAAGAAAGCATATCTATGAAGCGGGGAAACAAAGCAGGCGGTGGACATCCCCCTCTGGTCATAGCTTTCTGTAGGCAGGAAGAACCTGATAACCCTCACTGCTTCATTGCTTCACATGCAAATGAAGGCAATAGAATGCATCCGTGTTTATTTACATATGTGGCTCCCTACAGAGAGGCTTGCCCTTTGCCTGTAAGGGGTTGTTAGGTCAGCCTCTTGAGTTTCATTTTGCATGGAAAATGCATTTGGGTTTATTCTCCCTCTGATCTGCGAGGATGCTGTGAGGCATACATTAACTTTCCTTGTAGGTATCTTTTCCCTCATAAGAGGGAAAAGCTAAGTTAATGTAGCATAAAAATTATTAACGACAAAATATGTATGTATTCTGAAAGAAATCATGATTTTTTTTTAAAGATTTTATTTCCTTGAGAGAGAGAAAGAGTGGAAATGAGAGAGAACACAAGAGGGGGAGAGGGGCAGAAAGAGAGGGAGAAGCAGACTGTCCGCAGAACAGGGAGCCTGCCGTGGGGCTCCATCCCAGGACCCTGGGATCATGACCTGAGCTGAAGGCAGAGGCTCAACCCACTGAGCTACCCAGACACCGCAGAAACCATGATCTTCTAAGTACTAGCTAGGGCTAATCACCCTCTGAGTGATTTTTTTTTTTTTCTTATTTGAGAATTAGATTTTCATTCCTTTTTTTTTTAAAGATTTATTTATTTATTTGACAGACTGAGGTTACAAGTAGGTAGAGAGGCAGGCAGAGAGAGGAGGAAGCAGGCTCCCTGCTGAGCAGAGAGCCCGAAGAGGGATGCAGGGCTTGATCCGAGGACCCTGGGATCATGACCTGAGCCAAAGGCAGAGGCTTTAACCCACTGAGCCACCCCAGGCGCCCAGATTTTCATTCCTTTAATTAAAGTGACCAGCATCATTATGAATTTATTGCACTAAATCTGTAGATTAATCTCAGGAGTCTTCGAGTTGTTTTTTTTTTTCTTAAGATGGCAAATGGTCTTTTTTGATATATCTGCATTTTATGTAGACCTCCTACTTAAAATGTCCTCTCATCTCTAAAGCTTTGGATACAGAGAGGAAGGTTCTAGAAGTGGAATGTTTTCCTTTGGAGAAATACTTGTAGGAAGTGACAGGCCAGGTTAGGTCATTGGTCAGCATTCAGAGCTGAAGTAGAAGCCGCAGAGTCTTAGCAGAAAGAGGCAAAGATCTGAAATCCACCAAGCGAGGATTAGTCAAGTTCGGCCTTTTGATGCAAGTGCTGTCTCAGCAAGTCACATACGCTCCGAGCCTGGTTGTGCAGTGTGCTTGGTGGGAATAGGTCTGCCTCAGAGTCAGGAGTACTAAAAGAGGTGTCTGTGAAGTGCCTCGGCCCACTGTCAGCACCGTACAGATCTTTAGAGCGTGGGTTTTTGTGAGCACCCCACACGGGAACCCCAGTCATGTGTCGTCATCTGAATCCCTAAAGATATGGTAACATGACCTCTTGAATAAATGTTCGCTTAGTCTCTGCTGTGATGGCAGGCATTGTTCCAAATCAGCACTGTTAGATAGAAATAGAGCGCAAACACATAATGGGATTTAAAATTTCCTAGCAGCCGCATTTAAAAACACAGGTGAAATTAACTTCAATAAATTTATCTTAGCTCAGTATATCCAAAATATTTTAGCATGTAATCATACAAAAATTATTAATAAGATACTTCACTTTTTTTTTTTTTTTTTTTAAATCAGGAGCTGGAGTTCTGGAGTACATTTTAATTTTACAGCACATCTTAATTCAGATTGAGCCTGCTGCAAGTGCTCAGTGCCTCCCTGTGGCTAGTGGCCACTATGGTGGGCATCTGTCCCCTTTTGTGTGTTGGGTTGTAGGAGTAAACAAGATACAGAGAGTTCTTTCCCCCAGAAGGGTTCTTGCATGGGGAGACAGACAATACACAACAGACGTAAGATAGTAGTGATAAGTGCTATAAAGAGAATACGACATTGGGACGCCTTGGTGGCTCAGTGGGTTAAGCCTCTGCCTTGGGCTCAGGTCATGATCTCAGGGTCTTGGGATCGAGCCCCACATTGGGCTCTCTGCTAGGTGGGGAGCCTGCTTCCCTCTCTCTCTCTGCCTGCCTCTGCCTACTTTTGATTTCTGTCAAATAAATAAATAAAATGTTTAAAAAAAAAAAACGATACCAACTCGGGAGGAAGTGTGAGGGCTGCCTTACCTAGAATACTCAGGGAAGAGCTGTTGGGGATGTTGATGTCTGAGCTATGGCCTGAATGATTAAAAAGGCAGAGCTAGGGGTGCCTGGGCTCCAGTCACGATCTCAGGGTCCTGGGATCGAGCCCCCGTCGGGTTCCCTCTCTGCCCCATTCCCCCCACCCTCACCCCACTTGTGTGTGTACTCTCCCCCTCAAGTAAATAGAATCTTAAACAAAATAAAAATAAAAAGGCAGAGCTACTCCCGTGAAAACATGAGTGATGTTGGCCTCTAGTCAGCGGGAACTGCAGATGCAAGGCCCCATGATGGGATGTTCTCCTCATTGTACTTAGGGAACCAAGTGGTGTGGCTGGATTGTAGGAAGAAGGAAAGTAAGAGACAAGATTGGAGAGGTAGACATGCTCTAGAAGAAATACATAAAGGCTGTGATAAGAAATTGATATTTTAAATGAGATGGGAAGCCAGTAGAGGGCTTTATTAATCTTTTTTAAAGATATTATTTATTTGAGAGAGAAACAGAATAAGTGGGAGGAGGGGAGAGGGAGAAGCAGACTCCCTGCTGATCAAGGAACCCAAGGTGGGACTCAGTCCCAGGACTCTAGGATCATGACCTGAGCTGAAGGCAGACATTTAACGGATGGAGCTATCCTGGTGCCCCCAGTGGAGGATTTTTTTTTTTTTAAGATTTTATTTATTTATTTGACAGAGATCAAAAGTAGGCAGAGGCAGGCAAAGAGAGAGAGGGAAGCAGACTCCCCGCTGAGCAGAGAGTCCAATGTGGGGCTCAATCCCAGGACCCTAGGATCATGACTTGAGCTGAAGGCAGAGGCTTTAACCCATTGAGCCACCCAGGTGCCCTCCCCCAGTGGAGGATTTTAATAAGGATTTAATAGTTTATAACTATTTAATAATGAGTTTATAAAATACAGGTGAGACACTCATGTTTCAAAACTACCTGATTTATTAATATCTCGTTCAGTGAACCAGAATTCCAAACTTTTTTTTTTTTTTAAACATATGTAACCAATATCTCTTTCCCATTTTCAAAATAAACTTATGTGCAAGTCAGCATGTTATCTGTAGACACTTACGTGATTTAGGGAGAGTGCCTTTTGGACATTTTCTATCCATTAACTTTAACTTTTTCAAATTCCAGAAGAGCTCTGGGTGTTCGACTTAATATTAAATTCTTGCTTACAATGGTTTTATAAACAAAATGCCTTTGAGGAAAGACAGAAATTGTGAAAACAGTGCATCTCCTACTGATTTTCTTCTTTCTTTCCTAACCCTTTGGCAGACATGTGCATTGCGATTGCAATTTCTCTTCTCATGATCCTGATATGTGCCATGGCCACTTACGGAGCGTACAAGGTAAGCGGCTTTGAATTAGGGGGCTGGGCCTTCTCCTTGGTCCCTTACCCTTGTAGCCTGGGCAGCTACTTGTGAGAAGGAAAAAGTGATTCTCAGTTTCCTCTAAGAGCCTTTGAAGTTTCAGTCTCATATTAATATTCTGTGGAAAACCAGAAGTGTTCATAGAGGCCTGTTGGTTAAGCTCCTCAGTGTGGTTGACCAGTTGTCCTCAGGACCTGGCTTATTGAATGTCTTGTCCTCCTCTTCCCTTCAGAGGAAGAAACAATTTGTCTGAGTTGGGAAAAAATAATTTTATGATACTGAAAGCAACAACATCATCTTTTCTCTCATATTTAGCAACGTGCTGCCTGGATCATCCCATTCTTCTGTTACCAGATCTTTGATTTCGCCCTCAACACCTTGGTTGCCGTCACTGTGCTTGTTTATCCAAACTCCATTCAGGAATACATACGACAGCTGGTATGTGGCCATCCCCATCACTGTTCCTTCAGGATCTGGTTGTGGGTACACACACACACACACACACACGAATTTTTGGGTTTTTCCACTTGCATCTGAGTTACTGATTAAAGATTTTTTAGTGTTATCTTTTAGGTTTCTGGTTTCTTAGAATGCTTTTTGGTAGGTTTCTGGTTTCTTAGAATGCTTTTTGGAACAACATAACTTCTTGAGGTTGGTAAGGGGGGGGCTGCGATGAGTGTATTAGATGTACCTACGCAAATTACAAACTAGTTACTAATTCTTTTGTAAAATGTAGTTTGCTCAGTTATCAGCAGAGGATCGTTTTTTGGCCTCTGCTCTTGTACGGAGAAAGTGGAACTGTACTGTACACTGGTTCCCAAACTTATTTGGCCATAGAACCCCTTTCCTGCTCAAGCATCTCTTTAGGCCTCGTTTTCTGTTAAATGTTCTTTGTGACCATCTGAGCAAAAGTGGGTAACTGGGTATTCAGAAGCTGGGGGAGAATGTAATCCTCTGTGCCTTTGTATCTCTCACCTTTGTTAAGATTGTGACTGTGCCTTAAAATTTAATTTCTTCAAAATCTTAGCATGTTTCAAAGGGAGAGAATGTTGACTCTTTGGAGGTTTGCATTGTTTGTGCGCATGGGGGATGGAGCAGGGTTTTTCTGGGACGGGAGGTTCAAGGCTGGGGATTTGACAGGACAGCGAGGCTGGAAGTTCAGTGGAAAAGAGAGAGGGGAGGGGTGGAGGGAGGGCAGGGAGGAATGGCCCCAGCCGGAGTTTGTGATCTCACGGCTGGCACGCCCAGGTCGCATATCCAGTACTCAGCAGACCTAGAGGAGCGGAATGAAAAGCCTCTAGTGTTTTTTGCTCCTTAAAAGTGTTCTGTTGCCACTGCTGTTGTGATTGTGATTCTTAAGCTGTTAGCAACAGCTTCCCTTTGCTTTAGAAAACAGGTCTGTGTTTTGGTATCCTAGAGTGTTGAGAAAAAAATACTGTGTATTTCCCGTGTGCTACTCTATATTCTCTCTTACGGTAGAGCTGGAGTGTTTCTGCCTGAGAAGGGTGCTGTGTGATGAGCAGTCAGGAGAATGACCTCAGTCTTTAAGGACTTGTGTTTTATTCTCTAATGATGACCCAGTGCCGGGTTCCTCCAATCAACCTTGGACATGTGGAGGAAACATGACCTCCCCTTAGCCTGTGACATGAGGGGCCAGGAAAGGGCGGTGCTAAGTTAGGAGACGCCAAGAAAAGCCCTGTGGCGGCCTTGTGATCCCTTGAAGCGTGTGTTGTTTGCTCCATCTGTGTATTGCGGAGACTTAGAAGCAGCAGAAAGCATGGAACATGCAGGTGAGCCTTGAGAACACTCAGATGGCTACCTCGACTTTCTGCCATACCCCACACTGCTTAGTCACTTCATACTCATTTGCTTTAGAGCCACCGGTGGTAAAATGATGTTGGTGATGCTGATAATAAGCACAATGAGTACAAAAATGAAATAAAATCACCATCTTTTATTTGTAATTACAAACCAAATCATCCAAGTGAATGTCTTCAGTATGTTCTACTTTAAAAGCAGTTTGAGCTGAAGGCGTGAGGCCCACGGATGATGAGCCTGTCTAAGGATGAAGGTAAAGCTGCGTGGACAGCGAGGCCCGCTGACAGGCCGCCATGTCTGAAGGGACGCTTACCTGAGGTGGGGGGAGAGCACCCCCTTCACATGAACGCCTGTTCTCCTCATGCATGGTCTTGTAAAATGCAGTTAAAATAAATTGCGCCTCTGTTTTACAGTCCTTGACATAGAAACTGTGTTCACTTTTCTGAGGGAAAGAGTGTGGAGGTATTTGTGGGAGGAGCCATGTACTTCCACTTTAATCCCTTTTTTTTTTTAAATTTTCTTTATTTATTTGACAGAAATCACAAGTAGGCAGAGAGGCAGGCAGAGAGAGGAGGAAGCAGACTCCCCGCAGAGCAGAGAGCCCGATGCGGGGCTTGATCCCAGGACCCTGAGATCATGACCTGAGCTGAAGGCAGAGGCTTTAACCCGCTGAGCCACCCAGTCGCCCCTAATCCCTTTTTTTTTTAATTAGACATAGTAACAGTATGGTTTGTGTTGATCTTAGGAATTGACACCAAGTTGACACCAAGTTGTTTTATTCTTACCTGTAAGATTAGCAGTATGCAAACCCTTCCAGTCTGTAAGGGGAAGGACCAGTCCCATGAGCTGATCACAAAGAATGACTCAGATTTTATCTCTTCAGGTTTTGGCGCAAAGTAAGTGGAGATTGAAAACCATTAGGTGATGTTGACCGTGGGGAGGAGAAGTTTCTTTCCATTCTCCTTTAACATTTGGAACCTCTTTGTTACATCTCAAAATACTGCTAATGTGGAGTCCAAAGCCATTGGATTGGATGATGAGGAAGAAGTTAGGGGGATGTGGCAGCTGGGGGTGCTGTCCATGCACCATGCTCCAGGCTGGGGACGTGGAGGGCTTCCAGCGGTCTGTCTGGCCACACCCAACCACAGGAGCCGGTTCGGGGCCTCCTTAAAAAGGTTTCCTTTGACCTGATAGTTAATCAATATGGCCAGATGGTAGGACTTGATCTTCTTCTTTTTTTTTTTTTTTTAAATGCTATAAATACCTACTAGTGTGAAAGATTCTGCTCCTTGAGAAATAACATCAGCAAAAAAATGCTCTGTATGAATAAGACTATTTTAATAGGTTTTCCCTCCTTGCCCTGTGCAAGCCCCTTAGTTGGTCCGCCATTTGCAGTGAATCTCAGTGTCACAGGTGGATGGAGAACTACTCACTTCTGACTTTCTGTGCAGTAAGGAGGGCACAGTTACATTTCCAAGCCTCGAGAATCTTCTTTGACTTGACTTTTTACGAGTTACTGCGGAATTACGAGCACACTGGCTTTTCTCTACACGCTGTCACTGTTTCATTAGAAGTGGGCTAGGAAGTGTGTAGTGGTCTTAAATAATAACTGTCTGCTTTAACTGATTGCTTTTTAATAAGCATATCTGGTTAATGCCTAAGGGGTCTAATCTGGAATGATTAATGAAATTTGTTAACGAGGCACTTTTTATTTGCAGCCTCCGAATTTTCCCTACAGAGATGATATCATGTCTGTGAATCCTACCTGTTTGGTCCTTATTATTCTTCTGTTCATCAGCATTATCTTGACTTTCAAGGTAAGGATGAAGATTTTACTTACAGCCTAGATACTGTTAAGTGTATTCATGAATGCTAAGAAAGTAAGCAAACTTGTTAGTTCTTTATGTTGCTTTAGATTTCTGAACTGCCTTTTGATTGCCTAATAGTTCGTTTCTTCTCTTACCTGTGTGAGAGCGAAATAGTAGCCACGTTCCCGCAGGCCAACCAAGGGTTATTCCAAAATCCATTTGGAGGAGAATACATTCACCACCTTAGGTAGTGAGTTGGATACTGCAATTGCCGTTACAATGTATGCACATTGTTCTGTAATTTGTTTTTACAATGTAATATAGTCTTTTTTTTTTTTTTTTTTTTTTTTTTTTTAATTTGACAGAGATCACAGGTAGGCAGAGAGGCAGGCAGAGAGAGAGGAAGGAAAGCAGGCTCCTTGCTGAGCAGAGAGCCCGATGCGGGGCTCGATCCCAGGACCCTGGGATCATGACCTGAGCTGAAAGCAGAGGCTTTAACCCACTGAGCCACCCAGGGGCCCCTACAATGTAATATAGTCTGAAGATTGTTCTCTCACAATCTGGTATATGAATTTATCAATATTTAATAAATTATTTTTGGACATCAAGACAGTTTCTGCTTTTTCACTCAGTAGTGCTATTATTTTTTTTTTTAACGACATCTTTCATATACTTATGCAGGTATTTCTTCCAGACAACATTTCTTAAAATTAGAGGGTGTGCATAATTGGAGGGCTTCTTTTGGGGTGTCCAACGGCTCCCCCCTGAGATGAGGTGACCGGCACCCCAAGAGCACTGTTTGCTACGCCCTCAGCAGTTGAGTGCTGCCGCTTCTTTTTCATCTCTGTGAACCTGATGATAAAAACATAACTGCACTTGGTGCTTGTGTGCTGCTATGAAGTAGAAAGTTTCTAAATCATTACTATACTTTGAACTTTTAATTCCTAACATCTTTTGTTGTCTTTATGTTGGCCTAAAATTACCTAAAAATTAGTTCTTAAACAGCCAAGCTTCGATAAGCTCAAAGAAGCTGCTTTTAGAGAGAATAGTCTTTTGAAGCAGATAATAGGAAGAGGAGTAAAATGATGATCCATTGGGAGTCGTCTGAGTCAGCATTTTCCGCATGAACTGAACGCGTTCCTACTGTGTTGCTCAGTGCTCGGGATGGGGGCGGATTTTATACGTGCATATTGAGGCTTCCTGCCCCTTCAGTTCACTCTCCTCACCCCAACCTTCTGGCTTCTCCGTGGGCCCTGAATACGGTCCCTTGCCCTACCTGGCAAAAGGTCACAAACTCTCAAACCCCTGTTCCTGACAATTTGTCTTCCAAAGGCAGACTTTTTTTTTTTCCTTTTCTTTTCTTTTCTTTTTAAGGCAGACTTTTCTTTCATTTCTGCTTGTTTGGTCCCTCCCTCATGCTTTCAAACTGCGTGTATATCTTACTGCAGATTTCACCATTTTCACATGTGGGAAGGTTGGTTGACCACACTACTTTCTGCCATTACCAGCACAGAAGCCAGAACCTCCTAGTGCTCTTGGAGGCATTTTAACTTTGTAGGTGTTTTCCTTTGTCTTAGAAATGCTTTACCTTGAGATGTTGAGTCAGAGTTCACTTCTCTCATTGCTGTTTCTGTCCGTGTGGCCAGAGCCTTGGTTTTTTTCATTTAATAACCAGCAGTAATGGTTAAGAAAACATGCTGTGGGGGTGACTGTGAAGTTTGAGTGTACAAGTGGTTGAGAAGATGCATCATTCATTCATTTTTTTTTAAAAGATTTTATTTATTTATTTGACAGAGATCACAAGTAGATGGAGAGGCAGGCAGAGAGAGAGAGAGGGAAGCAGGATCTCTGCCGAGCAGAGAACCCGATGTGGGACTCGATCCTAGGACCCTGAGATCATGACCTGAGCTGAAGGCAGCGGCTTAACCCACTGAGCCACCCAGGCGCCCTCATTCATTTTTTTTTTTCAATAAATATTTATTAAGGGTGTCCCATCTGCCAGGCCCTGTTCTAGGTACTAGGGTTAGGTAGTGAGTAAGAACAGTGTCAGCCCCGTGGTGCTTTTATAAATTGCAAAACACTTAATTACAATGATTGAATGAAAGGTACAATACAGACCTATCTCTAGCCTGGAGGAGATGCGCCCTTGTCTCAGTAGTGACCTAAATTCCCTGGTACTCTTTGATAAAGTTCATTACCACATGGATTCCTTACGAGCCCAAACCAAGAGACGATTTGTCACTGCATGTTTATTTGGGAAACATACTAAATATTTAATTCTCTTGAAATTGAGTAAGATGACAGAAATGTCAAGAAAGAAAGAAGGTCATTGACGTAAGTTACTGGGTTTTTAGAGACAATAGGCCAGAGGGTTTCTTCCCCCCCTTGCTGTGATCAGTAAGCGAATGCACATGGTGGTGTCAGGAACCCTTGAGAATGCTGGCTGGGCTTGTGAAGCCTCTGCCCCCAGGTGCCTCCCCTCTGCCGTTTAACACTTGCGTTGTAGACCTGTCAAGTGCAGGGGTCTCACCTGGCCTCAAAGAGTAGCTATTGCTCACTGCTAAAATCATGGATGCCTGTAGTCTTCTCACAGAACACATAATGAGTACTTGCAAACATTTGTTTTCGTTTGTACTGAAGTTCTCAGAAAGTCTAAGGTTCTTGTTTTCTCACTAAAGGAACGACGGCATTGAGTAAACTGAAGGTTTGAGTAAAATGAACATATTATGTGCATTGTTCAAGAAATAACGCCCTTCCTGTCTCTCTTTTTGTTATTGCTGATACCCAGTTTCAGATTATTGCTGTCCAGAAACATTTCATAAAGTACCATTTTACACATTTTCATCTTCACATCATCACAGAATATTTAAATATGAGAAATAACCACCATCGAGGATGAGTGCAGCCTGAGACAGCATTCTGAGTATACAATGGAATATTTTACCTCAGTCTTCCAAGAAATGTCAAGAAATGTTGACAGACATTCCTTTTGTCCTTTAACATCTTCTTTGCTATAGAACAACTTTGTTGCGATGTAATTCATAAATCCTAAAGTTTACCCATTTAAAGGGTACAATTCAGTGGTTTTTAGGATATTCACGGAGTTGTGTGAACCCAGCTCTGTGGTAAACAGGGTAACTTGAGGACATTTTCATGACCTGCATTATCCCTCATCCTCATCACCCCCAGATCCCCAACACCTGACAACTACTAATCAACTTTATCTCTCTATAGATTTGTCTATGGGGGACATTTCATATAAATAGAATTATACAGGGCGCCTGGGTGGCTCAGTTGGTTAGGCGACTGCCTTCAGCTCAGGTCATGATCCCGGAGTCCTGGGATCGAGTCCCACATCGGGCTCCCTGCTCCCTGGGGAGTCTGCTTCTCCCTCTGACCTTCTCCTCTCTCATGCTCTCTCTCACTGTCTCTCTGTCAAATAAATAAATAAATAAATAAGTAAATAAATAAAACTATACAGTATGTGGTCTTCTGGGACTGACTTGCTCTGACTTAGCATATTTTCAGGGTTCGTCCATGTTGTATATGTATCAGGATTTCTTTCCTTTTTACGGCCGAACGATATCCACCCCATGAATATACCACATTTCGTCTAGCTGACCATCAGTTGATGGGCGTTGCAGTCACTTCCCCACTCTGGCTCTTAGGAATACCACTGCTTGAGCATTCGGGTACAAGAGTGCGTGTGGGCACATGTTTCCTTTCTCATGGGCATACACGGAGGAGTGGAACTGCTGGGTCATACGGTCACTCTTGAACCCTTTGAGGAGCCACCAGACTGTTCTCCAAAACATCTGCATCATTTCACATTGCCACCCACAGCGAACGAGGGTTCCAATTTCTCCACATCTTTACATTTTTTGATCAAAAAAGTATAAAGTGGGAAAGGGATTTTGACGTCCTCTAATTCTAATCCACTCCCTAGGTGCTCAGAGTGGAAGGGCAAGAGGCTCATAGTCTGCACGTCTCCCATGAACTTGTGCTTTATCCTTGGCTTTATTCTGGGCATTGATCTTAATGGTCTTCTCTGGATATTTTAGTATGAATATGGAGATGATTTAGTATCCTCTGTTGACCACAAAGCAAATTTACATGCTGTGAATGTTTTTTAAAAACTAACTTGAATGTGATTTAGTTTCATCATATATAATCATGTAGAATAAAAATTCCGAAAACGGAGATTAAAAATGTGATGAGAGGAGCGCCTGGGTGGCTCAGTGGGTTAAAGCCTCTGCCTTTGGCTCAGGTCATGATCTCAGGGTCCTGGGATCGAGCCCCGCATTGGGCTCTCTGCTCAGCGGGGAGCCTGCTTCCCTCTCTCTCTCTGCCTGCCTCTCTGCCTACTTGTGGTCTGTCTGTCAAATAAATAAATTAAAAAAAAATGTGATGAAAAATGGGTTAACACAATGATTGATATGTGACATTGAGGGCAGCAAGTGTTTGTGGCAAATGTGCCTTCCAGCTACATTTTCTCCTGCTCTCCCTTGTCCCCTCCACCACAGCCTACCATCTTGGGGGAGGGCTGCTGTGATAGAATAGGCTAACAGAAAGTTATATACCGAACATTTGTAATTGTAAAGAGTTCCTTGATTTAGTAGAGTTACTATGTGCACTTACAAGTTAGTAAATAAAAGTTCTGTAATACGGTTTTCTGTGTGGGGGGACTGAAAATTGTCTGAAGTTTGGAAATCAGAGACCTAATAATCACTACTAACTTACAGGGTTACCTGATTAGCTGTGTCTGGAACTGCTACCGGTATATCAATGGCAGGAACTCCTCTGATGTCCTGGTTTATGTTACCAGCAATGACACTACGGTAGGTATGAAGTCATTAAACATGGAGATCTCCACGCATCTACTGTATGACGGCTTCTAGATGTTTCTAGTGTGTTTGCTCTATTTTTACATTGTTGAAACAGACTTAAATGAGCTTAGTCAAAAGAGTCATAGTAGAATGAAATGTGGTTTATTTTCCTTAGAGGATATTAAAATGTAGATAGCTCATGTATTTTATTTAAATAAGTTCTGGCTTATTTTTGAAAATATTACAGATGGATAATACATGTACTTTCTCCATATTTATGTATCTCAAACCCGATTACTAAGCCAGGGTATAAAACTCTAGATACCAGTTCGGCTTAGTATGACTGCTGTCTGACTTGACATGTGAATTGGAACCCAGAAATGTGGTTGTAGAGCTAGAGAAATGAGAATAGCAGAGGATGCTACATTTTTAAGGCTTGTTCTGTTCTTAGTTGTTCATACTTAAAATTTTTAAATCTATTTAATATGATTATGGAAAACATGTCTTTACTGGAAGAGTCCTCAAAGTCATTTGTCCTTTATATAGATTATCTTAAACTGCCTGGCTCATAAGAAAAGTATAAGTCCTCTAGGTATTAACCTCTTCGTGTCCCATCATCTTTGTGTTCAGCACGGTGCCTGACACAGTGCTTGGAACAAGTAGGTGCTCAAGGAGTGGTTAATGCAAAAACGACATGAGCGTGCGGGATGGCTCCTACTGGACAGGATTGGAGGGGATATAGAACTGACAGCACGCATGGAAGGGTAAATAGCAAGGGCGTGTTAAGTCTAAACCAGAACAGAGTTTTACATATTTTTTCTGTTTTTTAAATTGTGGTGAGTCACTCTGTGACCTCACTGAAATAATTTAACCTGTCCCTGACTTGATTTCTCTGTATATAAAATGGGAATAAAACAGTTTCGTTCCTTAGATTACATATATGTGTATCAGCTGATATACTGAGAACATTGTGGAATTTCTGAGAGAAAGCATGCTGCACGTGAATAGTTCGTGTTTACCCAGCACGTCCTGAGTTGGCTTGCATGTGTTTGAGCAGTGGTTTAAGAAGAGGCTGTGCCACCACCAGGTGCACAAAGCCCAGCATGTCAGACGCTGAGGTGGCTCTTGGGGTGGGGGTGTTGGTTCTGCAGAATCCTGTGTCCTGATCACAGTAAACACATGTTTTCCTTTAACCCTTTAAAGAATTCCTCTTGGTCAGTAAGTCTCTTTAAAGAAATAGCTGTTTGTAATGATCACAATTTTGGTAAAATTACTGGCTTAAGGAACATTTTCCTTCATTCTGAGTTTCTGGATATTTAGTTACCTGTAAGTTTCTTTCTTTCTGCCTTTTTTCTTAAACAAGAAATCCCAGGGTGTGAGAAATCTAAACCAAGTTTGAGGTTTTTGAGTCTGAGGAACAAAGAGAGTTGCTAAACAGTAAAGATGCATCAGAATGTCACCTGAATGTTGCAGTTGTGAGCCTTGAAAAGTGTCGCAGGGACGATAATGCCCGTGCCTCACCCATTAGTGTTAGTGTGCTGTTGGGGGCGGTTTGCTCACGGCTTTCTGAAGGGTCATGTGTATTTTTAATGGAAGCCAGGTAGAAGGGCTGAGAAGGTATGAGTTGTATAGATAGACCTCCAGATCCAAGGATACTCTGAAATTTGTAGGAATTGGGGTGCTGAGAGAATTTAAGAACCATGAGTAAATCCTTAAAATGCATCCAACTTGGCTTTTTATTTTATTTTTTTATTTTTTTTTTTAATTTTTTTTTAAAGATTTTATTTATTTATTTGACAGAGAGAAATCACAAGTAGGCAGAGAGGCAGGCAGAGAGAGGAGGAAGCAGGCACCCTGCTGAGCAGAAAGCCCGATGCGGGGCTCGAACCCAGGACCTGGGATCCTGACCTGAGCCGAAGGCAGCGGCTCAACCCACTGAGCCACCCAGGCGCCCCCCAACTTGGCTTTTTAGAGGAAGCTGCTATCTCCTCCCATTGAAAGATTCAGAATTAGACGTGGAATAACAGGGAGGTTTTATTCAAACTAACATAAACTCAAAATAGTTACACTTTTCAACTGGACTTCCCTAGCTCCTCTAATAACAGACTTTTTTCTTCAGAAAAGCTTCCAGGTTGCAGGTGATTTGGAATCGCTAGGATTTGGGACCACAGACTCAAGCCAACTGTGATGGTTTCCTGGTGTGTTGACAGGAGGGGCTGGGGAATTGTTCAGCAGTGGTTACTGGTCATTATCTTCTTGGTCATCATGCTCTATCAACTTGACATTTTTAAGACAGGAAACTGAGTTGCTGATAATGTTTCTACTTTCTCAAAGTTCCCAGTGAACCTTTCTTTTTTCTCTGTGTATGTGTGTGTGTGTGTTTCTTAAGCGTATTCCTGGGGAAGAGAGATTTATTATTTCTCATAAGTAGGTTGTAATCTACTCCAAAATGTAGGCTAAATATACCACTCGAATCTCCACTCTTCTGACAGTATTTTGAAAGATTTTTTAAAAAAATAATGATGTTGTGCTTTTTTTTTTTTTTAAAGGAGTCCTTATTATACCTAACATAATAATTCCTTAATAGTATAAGATAACCATTAAGTGCTCAGATTTCCAGCTGTCTCATACATGTTTTTCTAGTGGTTTATTTTAAATAGGAGCTATGGGTCAATCTGTATTTTAAGACTCTTAATTTTTTGTTACGGAAACTAGTTCGTCCTACAGACTACATTTATCTGACTGCCTGTAATGTAGTCCTCTGTATTCCCAGTAGATCAGCGCTTGGATCTAGAGGCTTCCCATACTCCTATCCACCACCACTCCTCCCCCCCCCTTTTTTTTGCTGCAATATTACTTTATAATTGATCATTTGTTCTTCCAGCAAGAGGCAGATAATGTCTGGCTCATTCTGTGTTTTGGGATGTCAGCAGCCATGAATATCTAACATCTGGATTCAGTGATTCATCAGGGTTTGCAATAATAATTACATGCCATCACTCCTTGTTCATTCATTAGCTGGAATATTTCTATAAAGAGAAACTTCCCCTCATACGTGATTTGCTTACCCAGTGGTACTTGTGACCTGGGTGAATATACTTGGTTTTGTTGTTTATCAGTTGTCCCAGTGGCGAGTTGGTCTATCATTCTCTAATGGTGACCAGTGAAGGTTTTTTTGTTTGCTAATTTGTTTTTATGTAACACATGAAGTCCTGAAAAGAGGTCTATTAGGAGAAGAGCTGGGGGTGTCCAATTGAAAAGTAAACTATCTTGGGGTGCCTGGGTGGCTCAGTGTGTTAAGCCTCTACCTTCGGCTCAGGTCATGATCTCAGGGTCCTGGGATGGAGCCCCACATCCGGCTCTCTGCTCAGCAGGGAGCCTGCTTCCCCCTCTTTCTGCATGCCTCTCTGCCTACTTGTAATCTCTCTTTCTCTGTCAAATAAATAAATAAAATCTTTAAAAAAAAAAAAAAAGAAAAGTAAACTATCTTGATATATTTTACCAATAAGCCTAAAGAAAACCTTAACCTATTATTCCATACCCTTTTGAGACTTTCAAAGGGAAAAAAATAAAAGCTTTCTCTAAAAAGCTAGTACATTTTAGTTAATATCCTTATTGATGCTCAAATTGTACTATATTTGGGCAGTGGGAGCCTCTTCAGGTTGGCCCCCAGGTCTTTTGACAGAACCTTGGCTGCTTGGCTGTCTGGTTGACAGGATCCTTCATGTTCATCTTGTCCATTTATAATCCCAGACCCGGAATCAGCCATTTCTTCAAGGAGCACTGCTTCCTTTAGGAGGAGACCATATCTAGATTTTCAGGGTCAGAGAACATCATTCTTTTTAAGCAGGGCTCCACATGTTCGAAGACTGTTTTTTTTTTTTTTTTTTTTTAAAGATTTTATTTATTTATTTCACAGAGAGAGATCACAAGTAGACAGAGAGGCAGGCAGAGAGAGGGAGGGAAGCAGGCTCCCCGCCAAGCAGAGAGCCCGATGCGGGACTCGATCCCAGGACCCTGAGATCATGACCCGAGCCGAAGGCAGCGGCCCAACCCACTGAGCCACCCAGGCACCCCTCGAAGACTGTTTTGACTTGAATGAAAGGAGTTAATGCTTGCATTCCAACTTTAAAACTCTAAATATACCAAAGCCACACTCTGAGACCCCAAGTGGGGGTTGGAATGATCTAGTTCTGTCATTTTCCCTGGTCTTCATCGCTGTATTAAGATCCTCGTAGCATGTAATAATGTATGCTGCTCTTTTGTCCCTGTCTTACTGGGAATCCACACTGACATAATATGTTGCCTTTCACTTCCTATCAGATTCTAAGCCAGATGGCTTTTCTCCCAGGCTGAATAGTCTCAGGGTGACCTCTGTGGATGCATCCTCTGGGGGCTCTTGTTGGTCGAAAATAAATGTTCCTTTTTTTCTCCTCTAAAAAAGAACACATATTATTAGCCGGATATGTAGTTTCTCAAACACTACTGAGACGGAGGATGGATGAGTTACCAGATATTGGAATCATTCCCTGGGTTAATCTAACCTTGAGTTTCCCAACCAAACCATAGCAAAACCTTGGAAAGCAATGCTTAGGACATAGGGTCACACAAACTCTGTTAGTTCATAATGCTCTATGATCTTCAGTATTTTTTTTTTCATGGTGCCCATAGGTCAAACGAAATACCTAACTGTCCATTGCATTTTAAGTAGTCAGGTCCAAACAACTTAAGAGTAGAAGTGAGTGTGATACCTGCCACGTCTTGCTGTGTTTTCCTTGGAATTTAAAAAAAAAATCCCACAGTGCCCCCTTGAGTCACTGCATTCCGTTACAGGGTACCCTAAGCACCCTCCTTTTAGGACATCGTGGTAGAAATCACGCTCTGAATATATGTTATGTAATACCACACTCTCTCCCCTGCCTCCACCAAAATTTGGCCCTAAGAGGAAAAATGTGTTAAATACCAAACATGTAGATTATAGAAATAGATTTTCTTCACATTAAAATTTATGC